TAATAAATTTACTTTTTAACACACACACACACACACACACACACACACACACACACACACACACACACACACGATGCCCTAATTACTGGGAAGAAACTGCCAGATACCCTCCATGTGATAAGGAACCAATCAGAAGTTAGCTGACAGGCTCTGGATGTGCTTTACTGATAATAGTGGAATGCAGTAGATAGCAAAGGCCCTCTAATGGCCTCCAGGCATAACAACCTTTCTGCAGTTGCAGCTGACCAATCAACTCAGGACAGGTTTCTCCCAGCCCAGAGTTGTGCCAAATCTGAGACAGTTAACTATGCAACTAGCAGACCCCAGATACTCCCCTTGCTCTACCCCCAATATATGCCTTGCCTTCCTGCTGCTTCGGCTCCCTCCTAATCAAGCCACTGTGTAGGATGGATGCAGGACCTGAGTTAAATTAAAGATTCTGCTTTTGCATCAGATCTGGACTCTTGGTGGTTTGGGGGCCCAGGTAGAAAGACGTATGCTGACAAAACACCCCCATACACAGGGTGTGTGGAGAAGTCTTAGGGCTGAGACTATAGTGGATTTGGTACCCTGCATGAGCACAGAGTCTTGGGGTGGGGTTCCTGGTACCAAGGAAACTTAAGCATGGTGGCACAAGTGTGTAATTCCAGCACTTAAGGGGTGGAGGCAGGGAAGACCAGGAGTTTGAAATGACTCCCAGTGAGCTAGAGGCTAGCATGTGATACACAAACCTTGCCTAAACAATTTAAAATAATGTGTGGCCGGGCAGTGGTGGTGCATGCCTTTAATCCCAGAACTCAGGAGGCAGAGGCAGGCGGATATCCGAGTTCCAGGCCAGCCTGGTCTCCAGAAGGAGTTCTAGGATAGCTAGTACTGCACAGAGAAACCATGTCTCAAAATAAAACACCAAAAATAAATACAATAATAATCATAAATAATAATAATGTGCATATTGTGTGTGTGAGAGGGGGAAACTCATGAGATGGCTCAGTGGTTAAGAGCTCTGGATGCTCATCCACAGGATTGAGCTTCTGTTTCTAACACCCACATTGTGACTCAGAGCTGTCTGTAACTCCACTTTCAGGGGATATGACAAGGTATTCTAGGAGCTGTGGGTATCAGGCATATACTCTGTGCTTAGATATACACTCAGGTAAAACTTTTACCTATAAAAGTATATGTGTGTGATTATTTTTAAAGCTTTCTAAAACTATTTTATGTGTTTGAATATTTTGCCTGCATGTATGAAATTGTACCATAGGCATGCAATCCCCACAGAAAGCAGAAGGCATCACATCTTTGTTAGGACTGGAGTTTTAGGCCCTTAGGAGCTGCCATTTGTGTGCTGGTAAGGGAATGTTGGTCCTCTGCAAGATTGGCAAGAGCTAGTAACTCCTGAACCATCTCCCCAGCTGGTGAACCACTCTGCCTCCATCTTAGGCTTGAAAGGCATTTATAGTGAAGACAAAGTAGTTTCTTTCCTGTTTATGATTAAATCTCTGTTTCTCATGTATTGGGTTATGCCCCACCTATAAGTACTATCATACCTGGCTGTTATTCTTGTCTAATGCATTTTTTCTATTTATTTGTTCTTCACATTAATTTATTCTTTGAGGTAGAATCTCTCACTGACCTTCACTCATTCTGTTAGGATTCCTAGCTAGTGAATTTCAAAAACAATAAAAAATAAAAAGCTCATTGCCTCTAAAGTAGATTTATCAAATTTTTCATTCTCATATTCTATGTCTTTAGAAATTGTGGTATATTTAAAAAGTCCTTGTCAAACTTTTCAGAAAGTATGTATGATTTCTTCCTTTTATTTGTTATTTTGAGACAAGGTCTCTCTTTGTAGCCCTGGCTGTGCTATAACTCACTCGGTAGACCAGGCTGGCCTCAAACTCATACACATCCACATGCCTCTGCCTCCAAGTGCTGGAATTAAAGGCATGTTTCACCACCACCCAGCCTTTTTCATTTTTTCTTTCTTTTTTTATGGTTTTTCGAGACAGGGTTTCTCTGTGTATCTTTGGATCCTATCCTGGCACTTGCTCTGGAGACACGGCTGGCCTCGAACTCATAGAGATCCGCCTGCCTCTGCCTCCCGAGTGCTGGGATTAAAGGCATGTTTCACCATCACCCAGCCTTTTTCATTTTTAATTTCTTTCTAAGGCATGGTTTCACTACACTGCTGAGGCTGTCTTAGAAATGGTCATCCTTCTGCCTCAGCCTTCCAAGTGTTGTAACAACAGGTGTAAGTCAGCACGCTTATTCAAACTATATTATGATGTTGTCATGAAACTAGATTCTAAAAGGACTGGATATTAAAAGGGCATTCTAACAATGTGCTTATCAGCTAAGGTTCATTTTGTATCCTAGGGGGACAGTGGGCCACGTCTGCGTATATTTTTGGTCTTAGCATCTAGAGGATACACTATGCTTCTATACTCCCTGCAGTACTCAGGATGATTTTATAGACTATAAGAGAAAAGGAGGAAACATAAGTCAACATTGGCATAAGACTATGGGGCAGAAGCACCAAGAGGAGACTAGGAGCAGACTGTAAGAACAGCTAGGGAAACTGAGGTGGAAAGACCCAAGTCCAAAACCATCTTGAGCTACATAGGGACACCTGTGATGATATATTATTTATGGTTTATTAAAATTTGCCTTAGGATTCAGAAAGCAATGCCAGCCTCGGGCAATAGAGATCAGGCAGTGGTGGTACACACCTTTAATCCCAGGACTCAGGATTAAGAGGTAGACAGATCTCTGTTAGTTCAAGGCCACACTGACTACATGAAATTGATCCAGTCCTAAAAGAAACAGCTCACACAAAGATGATCTTAGCACCTGGGATCACACACCTTTAATCCCGGCATTAGGGAGGTATACAAGGCAGGAGCAGGGTCTCAGAGCTGGCATTCAGTCTGAGAGTTAGTCGCTAGCCATGTTGAGGAGAGAACTGAATGAATCTGAGGAGTAGTGAAGTCAGGAGCAGTTTGAGGATCTCCCCTTTGGTCTGAGTTGAGGTAGAGGTGAGAGCTAGTGGCCAGCTACTGTGCTTTTCTGATCTGAAGCTTGAAGCTTGAACCCCAATATCTGTCTCTGGGTCTTTTATTTATTGTGTTACAGACACCTATCTAAAAAACAAAACAATATGGACTGGAGAGGTGACTCCCTGGTTAAGAACATTGACTGCTCTTCCAGAGGTCCTGAGTTCAATTCCCAGCAACCACATGGTGGCTCACAACCATCTGTAATGAGATCCGGTGTCCTCTTCTGGCCTGCAGGAATACAAACAGACAGAATACTGCATACATAGTAAATAAATCTTTACAAAAACAGTGAACCGGAGAGATGGCTCAGCCATTATGAGTGCTTGCTGGTCTTTCAGAGGACCCAAGTTTGGTGGCCAGCACCCTCACCAAGTAGATGTCAACAGCCTGTAACTCCAGATCCAGGGGAACCAATGCCCTCTGTGTGCCACCAATGACCTCTTTGTAAGCCATAGGCACCCCCCCCCAACACACACTAGGAATAAAAACAAACCTTTAAAACAAAATAAAGAAAAATAAACCCTGAGAAACTAATTATTATGCAAATGCCTTTATTTGGAGTACTATGTTGCTACCAGATTACATCACTTTTCAGAGTTAGATTAACATATGATCTTGAGAACTACAGCAAAAAGCTTGACAAAGGAAGAGAACATCAAGTCCGACATACATACTTTCCCCTTTTCGTGACCACATCTCCTTGTTAGATGCGTTAAATTTAAAAATCTATTGTACACTTAGCATACTTTGCTTATTGAGTCCCATCTAAATTCTGAGCCCACTCTCTCCTCAAAGGTGTCATATTCAACAGCATTTTAGATCAAATGAGAGTTTTGTGATAAAGTGTTCAAAACAAAGAAGCATGTGTCGAACTGATTCATTGAAGACAAAGTATTTCATTTGATTTGATCCTGGGTGTGAGGGGGAAATACAACAAACTTAGGGTCCATTTTCCTCCCCCTATAGTTTATGCTTTTTCTTTTACTTACTTGAAGTCCCCTTTAAAAAAGTAACAAATCAGCAGACTTGTTGACCGTAATCAAAATATTCTTAAATGTACAAAAAAATAATCATGTAGAAAGAATACTGTAAAAAGATACTGCTTTTAAGAATAAAAGAATGAGAAAAGCTTCTAGTATATTCTGCACAGCCAGTTACATGAGCAGATTTTCAGCACTACAAAGTAAGCAAGGACACTCACATCTCCACATAGTATCTGACCACAGTTCTCCAGTAAGAACTTGGAAAGCAAAATGGCAAGTTAATACTATGGCTATCTACCGATCTAAGCAAGTCTCAAGAGATGGACAGCCTAAGAGGAAAAGATACACAGAGAGGTAATACACAAGCATCAGGAAATGTCAAGGGCAGTATTCTAGGAGGAGAGAGCAGATGGCCGGCTGTGAGCATGTTCAGGTGTGCTGAACAGATCCAACTGGAAGGGAAAGGAGTTGCTTGTTTCTAAAAGTCTTTCCCCGAAGGCTGTCATGATGAGCTAGTCTTGTTAATCAAAACTAAAAGTCCTTTAAATGACTGAGAATTCTTTAAGCCATGAGCACTTCACCTGGGAATAGCTGACTTGCCAATCATGCACCTGTGAGTAAGGATGGTTCTATTCAGATTGGTTATTTTACACTCTCTTCATCCCCCTGCCCATCAAACATGCAAACACGGTCATGACCATCTTGGGTTTTACTTCCACAAGGTCTTCGGGGAGAGCATATACTCTGGCTCCAATTCTTCTAGCCATTGACACTGCATACCTAGGTTTGAGGAGACAAAAATCAACATGAGTTTTTTCTTTGTCAAGGGTAGCTGCAAATTTTTTAAAAAAGGATTCATTCATTTTTGTTTTATGTGCTTTTGTGTTTTGCCTGCATATATGTCAGTGTGAGGGTGTCGGCTCCCCTGAAACTGGAGTTATTGAAGTTGTGAGTTGCCCCGTGGGTGCTAGAACCTAAGCCTAGGTTCTTTAGAAGAACAGCCAATGCTCTTAACCACTGACCCATGTCTCTAGCCCCAAGGACATCATCTATTTCCTCTTATACAATCTGGTGGCTTGGATACAAAGTTTCTGTATGGCAGTACAAATCAGAGAACTGGGCATGTGGCACATGCTTATAATTCCATAACCCTAGTTCTGTGGAGGCAGACACTGAGGCCAAAGAGTCCCTGTAAGTTTGAAAGTAGCCAAAACTACACAATGATATATTGTTCCAGAAACCAGAAAGTACCCATTAATAACTTTCACACTTATTTTCTGTTTTGTTTTTGTTTGGAATTGATTTTAACTTACATGAAATCAAAACATGAGATTTATTTATTTTATTTTATGTGTATGAGTGTTTTCTCTTCATGCAAGTATGGACACCACATGTGTTCCTGGTGACTGAAGAGGTCAGAAGAGGGCATTAGTTCTCCTGGAAATGGAGTTACAGATGTTTGTGAGCCACCATGAGGGTGCTGGGAAATGAGCCCAGGTCTCCTGTAAGAGCAACAAGTGCTCTTAACTGCTGAGCCCCCAGCTCTCCAGCCTCAATTATACTAAATTTTTATAATCTCTTTTACACTGACTTCACATAAAAATGAAGTGTGTGTGTGTGTGTGTGTGTGTGTGTGTGTGTGTGTGTGTGTGTGTATGTGTGTGTGTGTGTGTGTATTTGCCCAGGATGACTGTACAATCAATTATGAAATTCTCTGTGTAGCGTAATGAGATAACAGACACTTTTCTTTTGTGAGTGTGGTGCTAGGGATGGAACTCGGGGGACTTGTGTGTGCTATTTCCCAACCCTTAAGTGCCAGAAGTAAAACTCAAATGCCCGGGTTGATGCACCAAGTACTTCCAAATACTAAAGCTAGAGGTGAGGATCTGCGTGCTACACAGAGACTTGCTGGGCAAAATTAGGAAAGGTATAAGATGAAAACACTGTCATGTGCATTTAGGAGAACAGGCAGGAGCACACCTCCAGTGATGCAAGCATTTCCAAGATACTGCAACAGGAATCTTTATGGATACTGAAATTTTATCATTTCCACTCAAAAATACTTTTCAAAGAAGAAAGAAAGGATGTGCCCAATTTCCAAGTTTTGCAGGACAGCATCTTTGCTGTCCTACAAAGCACTGCTGAGGACGGACTGGCTATCAGCATGTATTGGTAAAGTTATCATGGGTCCCCCAGTAAACTAGGGCACAGTATTAGTCTTTAGTGAAGAAGGGAAGAGATGGTGGAAAAGACCTACATATTGGTATCTGGTAAGGGATAACAAGGGCCCTGCTGCTGTGGTGGCCGAAGAAGTTAAAGTCAGCATATATTGCAAGAGTGTTTGATCCATTGTATGTGACAGAGGCATAATTGGATAATGTGTTTAGATAAAATAAAAGAGATAGACAAACACTCTAAGGTATGGCCAGCTTTTTGTCTTGTTTGAAGTTCATACTGATTTGCATTAAATTGTTTCAATAATTTACTAAAGCAACAGTTGAAAATCTTGAAGTGCAGACAGTGCTAAATTCTTTTTGTTTGTTATTTGTATCTTGACAGCATCACACTGTGTAGCACAGGCTGCTGTTGAAATCACAATCTTCCTGCCTCACACTCCAGGGTACTGAGATTGTTGTCAGTCACTACACCCACCATACATGGTTCTTCTAGTGGTGTGAGGTAGGGGCTCAGGATGTAGCCCAGTGCCTAATTCATTTGTCTCAGGTCCTATACCACTCAGATACACCCCAGCCTTTCTTGTGTGTTTTTCTATTTTGAGACTGAATCTTGCTGCATTGCCTCAACTGGCCTAGAATCTGCACTTTTCCTGCCTTAGCCTCTTGAGTAGTTGGACTTCTAAGTTTGTACCCTAATGTCTGGTTGTATAATTGTGTTTTTATATGTTTAAATTTTAAAGATTTTATATATTTATTTATGTGTGCCCGTGTATGTGGGATGTGTGCTTAAGGTGTGAGCCTGGAGGTTAGAGAACCACTTGGAGGAGTCAGTTCTCGCTTTTTACCATGTGGGCACTGGGGTCAAACTAAGGTTATCAGACATTGTGGTAAGTGCATTTACCTGCTGAGCCATCTTGCTGACCTTTATAATCTTTCTTAAAAGAATTTTAAACCTTTGAACCCTCTAAAATAAAATTTTTCTCCATTTTTTTTGTTTGTGATGAACTTGAAGTTTAAAAAATATTTCCCTCATAGGCTAAAGAGATGGATGGCTCACTGGCTGCTTTCCAGAAGACCCAGGTTCAATTTCAAGTGGCTCACAACAATCTGTAACTCTGGTTTCAGTGGATATGATGCAATCTTCTGATCTATTCAGGCAACAGGCACACAAGTGGTGTACAGACATACCTGCAGGCAAAACACTCCCACACTTAAAATAACAAGATAGCTTAAAAATCATGTTTCCCCTCACAGAAATAATATCACATCATAAAATACAAATTTTAGTGTCTGACATTTAACATCATTTCCATATTTACCTATGCTGTTGCAAATTTCATTCATATAGAGGCTATATAGTAGTCCTTCATTGTCTTATGTGGGCTCCACAAAGCTATTCTCAGTAAAGGACAGAGATTTGGGTAGTTAGGTTGAGGGATACAAAGGGGAGATGTTGGTGAGAGGGGTATATAATTGATGTTAAATAGTAGAGATAAAACAGTTAAGAATAGGCAAATGCAGAGCTAGATGCTATGTTGTTTGCTGGGTGCTCGGAAGTAAAGGGCAGTGGCAGTGACTAGGGATGCTCAGCAAGGCTCTGCTGTTGTCGCTAAGTGTTCTGACATTGATTGTGGTGATGGTCATATAACACTGTGAACATTGTCCAAAGCTTTACATCGTATACTTAAATGAGTGAATTGGATGTCTGTGAACCAGATCTCAATAAAATCATGCAAAGTAAAGAGATTTTCCCCAGATGCCCCCACTATCCATGGGGAGAACCTGAATTAGAGTGCATCTTCCTGGCCATACCACCAGTGCCCTTTGTATGACACCGAGTGCTTGCCCTTACTTGGCATTATTGTGCTTGTCATCTTCTGTAAGATTCCCGCTCTTAACAAGGTCATAGTTAATGCAGCCTGGCTGGATGGCATCAATTAAATCCACAACTGCCAGACTGGAGCTGATCGTCTTGTCCTATTAAGAAAGAAGGGAACAAACCTGAGAATTTCGGTATTGACAAATTAACATGTGCTTCCTTTATAAGCCTGACCAAGGGAAGGGAAATCTTGCCATTAGCTCAACAATAATTCTTACAAAGAAACCCAAGGTTGTCCTTAAAATAACTGCTATTATCTAGCCTACATAATGTGTAATAACCAGTATACTGACCTTAAAACTCTGAATGGAAGTTGACTTTCCAGCTTCACTCAATGTTCTGTTCACCCAGTTTACAATGATGTCATCATTTGCTTTCTGACCTTCTCCAAGATCTTCCAGAACATTAAGAGTATATCTAAGAGAATCAGCAGAAGAAAGTCACAATCTATTCTATGAAGAACAATGCTTGCATCAGAAAGTTTTCTTCTCAGGCAGTAGTGGTGCATGCCTTTAACCTCAGCACTTGGGAGGCAGAGGCAGGGGGATCTTCGTGAGTTTAAGACCAGTCTGGTCTACAATAGCTAGTTCCAGGACAGGCTCCAAAGTCACAGAGAGGCACTGTCCCGAAAAACTAAAAACAAAACGAAACAAAGAAAGATGTGTCATGTACATTTTTTTTTACCGCAAAGATTTCATGGGGGCTGACAGGACAGCTCAGTGGGTAAAGCAGCTTGATGTACGTGTTTGACCACCTGAATTTGATTCCCAGATACTACAGTGGATGGCAAAAACTGATTCCTCAAAGTTATTCTGACCTTCATCTGAGACAACGGTATGAGCCTTCCCATACTCATTCACACGCATGCACTTCATACACTATGCTGAACCTAGGCATGATGAATGCTTTTGGTGTTATTGGTAAGAGATGCTCATTTTCTGAAGGGGTGGGAAGCATGTAAGGGCCAGAGCTCAGAAAGGAGAGCTGGGAAACAGCATCATTTTTATATGATAGGGCTGCTGCACCCATAAATCCACAGTGGCTGTAGTTTCCCGCACAATAGCCACACAAGATCATTGGCAGTTTATGACAGTCAGTTTTTTTAGCACGGGGTGTGGCTCCTAATAGGTTCCTATGCTGCAAATGGATAGTCCCACACTCGGCATATGTGGGCAGCATTAATTGGACTCAGTGTGTTATTTAAAAAAAAGCATTAAAGTGGGAAGGGGAAGTAGGGGAGATCCTACTTGGCGGGGCTACAAGTGGGATTGGATATTATTAAAGTTCATTGTATACATGTATAAAATACATGTCTGCCATGGCACACCTATGGAAGTCAGAGAATAACATGGAGGAGATGGTTCTGTTCCTTCACCACATGAGTTCCAGGGACAGAACTGGGCACAAGAACCTTTAACCACTGAACCATACTGCTGACCCAGGTCTTCACTTTCAAATGCTTCTATTTCTTCTTGATGTTTTGGGTTTGTTCCTTTGGGGCAAGGTCCTACCCTATAGTTCAGGATGTCCTGGAACTCACTATGTAGCCCAAGCTGGTCTCAAACTAGTTAGTCCCCTCCTCAGGTGCTTAGATTTCAAGTAAGAGACACCATTTTAACTTTTCCTTATTTGTTTTGGGGGTCTGGGGATAACCTCCATGCATGCTGAGATACTGAGCCAGAGCATCCTGGAATACTGAGCCAGAGCATGCTGGAATACTGAGCCAGAGTATCCTGGAATACTGAGCTAGAGCTGCAGCCCATCTGTCAATGTTATTCAGTGGCATTGTATCAGGCTTAAGGCTACACATCAGACTTCTGTAAAAGATTGGCAGCAACTACAGTTCTACCTAACTCACAGTGATGATCCAATATACACTCATAGAAAACTCATTTCAGAGCCTAAGTACAATGAGTTCAGAAGTGTATTTAATGAACTAACTGATTAATTTAAGTCCATGAAAATATACTAAGGGTGAATTCAGAGACCCATATTACTGTGAAGTTTCAATGGTCACCACTGTACACAATACCTTCTCATCAGCTGCCATACTACAGCCAAGGTCAAGGTTGGATTCCCATCATTCAGGTCTTGTCCTCCAATGCCAACCAGGGAGAATTTAGCTGGATGCTTCCCTAATTCAACTGCATAGTTGCAGTTTTCTAACTGCAAATGTACAAAAGCAAATGAATGGTTAAAGATTGTCATTTGTTTAATCTCCATGAGCTTCCTTTCCCACCACCACCAGCCCCCCCCTTCTCTCTCTCTGTGTGTGTGTGTGTGTGTGTGTGTGTGTGTGTTGTATGATAGGTATCTGCTTAAAATCAAGATGTAGTTCCTATCCTCAAGAAGCAGCTTATGATCCACAGGTTTTAAAACAAAAAAAAGAAATGAAGCAGATTCCGGATTTGCTACCTTTTTCATGTTGGCTCCCAGCTTTGGGTATGGAGGCTTGTTAACTTTACTCCAGTCCACTGGAACTTTAATTCGTTCATATAGCTGTAAGATGACCAGGGCATCCTGCAGGTCACTAACAATTCAAAACATAACTTCATCAGTGATTATAAGCAGTAACACAAATCAAACAAGATATCTAAAATCACAATACCTACGACTCATACTTTTCTAAATTGGTCTGTGCTGAAAATAGAGCTAAGACCATTCAGTTCACTTAAAAGTCTGTGAGCACAGCTAGGCAAAGTTGTGCCCACCTTTAATCCTAGGCTTGGGAGGGGAAGGCAGGGCCATCTCTGATTGAGAGGCCAGGCTGGTCTATATAGACAGTCAAAGGCCAGCCAGGTCTACACAGTAACATCCTGTCCCATCTTAAAATAATAAAAAAAAATAATGGCCTTTAATCCCAGCACTTGCGAGGCAGAGGCAGGCAGATCTTTGTGAGTTCAAGGCCAGCCTATTGTACATTGAGGCTAGCCTGGTCTACACAGAGAAATCATGTTTTAAACTCATGATCCTCCTGCCTCTGCCTCCTTCAGCAAATCCTACTAGTGTGCTCCACTACAACCGGTGAGAAACCATTTTGAAAAACCAAAAGAGAAACTAATAATGCTTCTGCTGATAAAAGGATGTATGTTTATTATAAGCAAAAGCTGTTATAAAGATTGGGGACACTGGATGAAAACTCAGGACCCTACGTGAAGTCAGAAAGACATGTAATAAACAACTATGTGGATAACAATGATATGATTTTGGCATATATGTAAATTCAATGAATAAGACTAATACTAGACTTAGTAGGTCATAAATGGCAAATGGTAGGGAAATATTTAAGATAGGGAATATAGTCAGGCCTCAAACCATTACATGGCAGCAAAGAATAGTCCAGCCAGGAAGCCAAAGGCTGTAGGGAATCATGGGCAGTCTTCTACGAGTATTCCCAGACTGTTTAAGAAACTTAAAGTACTTGTTCCCTAAGGCACCATCAAGACATTTACTTATTCTATCTCTTACAGCCATGATCAGGCAAAGAAAGAATTTGAGCTTCTGTATATTAGGAAAATGATGATGGAAATCACTAACACTTTGTAACACTTTGCTACAAATGAACATGCAGAAAAATTTTAGAGCTGTCATTATTTATGCTAAATCCATTCATAACATTCATAACTTCATAATAGCAGTAGGATAGCTTACGCATAGAGATGGTTTACGTGAGGGTTGACACCAAGAGAGTTCATCCAGTTACGAAAGGTCCTTTCTTCCCGAGTTTCTCCTATTAAAACATTCACAACATGTATTCATTCATTAAGTGTCTTACATATAGGACCAGTGCATGCATTTATTAATTTTATGTGCTTTATTGTGATCTAATAATTACCACATGATAGTATGCCACTCTGACTATGGATAACTGAAATATAATTCTTAAAACATACATTAAATCCAGCATGTATTTGTATCTTTTTGGTTAGAGGCTTAAAAAGATGATATAGTTAGACCTGGTGGCTCATGTGTATGATCTCAGCCCTCAGAAGGCTGAAGAAAGAGATCGCCTGGAGTTTGAGGTCAGTCTTTAGCTACTATGGAGTTTGTTTCAGGAACAGGGTGAGACATTGTCTAACAACCACCTCCAAGGCTCTAGGCAAGGTGACTCAGTTTGCAAGACGGCTTGTCTAGAACACGTGAAGTTCTGGGTTTAATCCTTAGTTATCATACTTATAACTGCATGTGATACCAGTAATCCCAGCACTTGAAGGCTGGAGGATCAGAAACTTAGGGTAATTCTTTCTTTTTCTAAACAAGCCATTTATTTGAAATGCCAACTATATGTAAGGTAAAACCAGTGTTACATATTTATCAGTAACAGTAGAAAAAGAGAACCAGCCAGGCGGTGGTGGAGCACACCTTCAATCCCAACACTCGGGAGGCAGGGGCAGTTGGATCTCTGTGAGTTTGAGACCAGCCTGGTATCCAGATCGAGTTCCAGGACGGCCTCCAAAGCCACAGAGAATCCCTGTCTCGAAAAACAAAAACAAAAAAAAAATAAGAGAGAGAGAGAACCAGTGAGAACCTCTGTGAAGTACTCAAAAGAGAAATGCGTCTTTTACAATGCTTCATGCAGACCAATTCAAGTTTGGAGGTACCTAAATAAAATAAAAAATAATATATATTTCTTTAAAAAACACTACGTATGATTGAAGCATAAATATGTTTTATAAAGTACTGCTTATTCAGGTTATAGAAAACACTTGCATAGTGCATGAAATAAGTTTAAGAAAGATTTCTGAGCCTTTAGCACTGAAGGCACTTGACTTTACCATTAACAGCACAACCACAAGAAACTCAGAGTGAGGGTCATTCGTTACTACATAGTGATTTTGAGGCCAGCCTGAGACGCATGAAAAGCTTGACTCAAAATAGATGACTAGGTTAAAAAAATCCTCAAACAAAACATAAGACCTTTTTCTCAAAATAAATAAATAGGTTAATAAAAAACAAACAAAGCCTGGCTTACATTTGTTTACTAACTGGTCTCATGATAGGACCTGGATTTTTATTTTCTTTTTTAATCCTGGCTGTGCTAGACAAGAGTTCTGGCACTGAGCCACCTTCCCCAACTCAACTATTTTATTTGCAAATTTTGTTTCCATCACCATCCAGCAGTTTCCAGTTCTCACCCAGCACTGCATCTACATTTAGAAGATTCTTGCAAAAGCCAAATGGATAAAGCAACTCACTGGGTTGGAATCATATCATTGTGGCCTCTGTGTTTTTATGTCACAGACTGCACATTAGAATCACAGAAACTTTTAAGTTACCTTCTAGCAGAGTCCAGTCAATGTCCTGGTTTTCAGGTTTAGTGAGTGCTGGATATTTATTAAAGAGGTTAGCTACAAAGGCTAAGTTCAGTTTGGGATTTCCACTGACGACATCAGCAGGGGTAACGAACTGTCTGCAACCTAATTTATCTGCTTGTTGAAGCATACTTTCGGCTCTCTTCAAATCATCTGTTTCCTGTTGAAGTAAAAGAAGACATCTTTTAAAGGCCATTTTAAAAATTTAAGTATATAAATTGCCCCTATAATCATCGGCTGGGTAACCGATTGTACTTTCTTTCCGCTAACACATGGTACTTATTATAAAATCATTCTGAATGCAAAAGCCAGAGGCACAGGATATGTAGTA